AAACATCATCATTAATTTCATTTCGTTTGCGATTGTCAACAAGCAATCGCATGCACTTATTCTCCCTCGCTCCTTATCACTCGATATGCCACTTCATTTCATCAATATGATCAGTTAGTTAGTGTTTTATTTTGCTTTTCTTTGTCTTCCACTTGTTCTTTGTTATTCACCCCTCTGACAACTCCTAGTACTTCGGCGCGTTATATTTAGATATTTATGTGCATTAGGGTGGTAAAAAAAAAAGTACAGTCGGAATTTTAATGCCTCGTTCCATAGGATTGTTATGTACCGAAAAAATACCCCTTTTTTTATGAGATCAAAACACACTTAGAGGTCGCTCAAAGCGCTCAAAGTTTATAATGTATTTTATATGGCAAACAAAAAAAAAAACAAGTTTTCGAAGAAATTCTATAGATTTCATGAAAATCACAGAGAAACAGAGTTTTCCGATCGACAAATTATGGTTTTCAAGAATTCTATATAATTTCTAAGAAAATTTGTTTTTTTTTTTGATTTCCAAATAAAAAAGGGTATACTTTTTCGGTATAGATCAATCTTTGGGGGTTAGAGCATTAAAACTACCGCTATAATTTTTTTGGACTACCCTTATGCACATACATATGTTTTTGCAGAAAACATGCTCAAACGCAACAACACTTCATGTACTAGTACACATATGTACATATTTACATGTGTTTTTATTTAAATATAACTTGCGTGTGGAATTTTACTCGTGACAGATCGTTTTGCATGTTCAGGTCGGCCGATTTAAATACGTAAATGTACTTATTTATTTATTTCTGATTGTTTTTTTTAATGAATTTTAAGTATTTATTTAGTTGTGTGCAATTGCTTCTTTTCTTATGCACATATTAGTGTTTACACTTTGTACTAATTACGTATGTACACACAAACATATGTATGTATGTATGTACTTACATCTGTTTGTATTCATATAGTAAATTGTCAGTCTGCGCTCATTTTGTAGCGCAAGTGCGATTGCAGTGCTAAATATTTATGTATTTTATTTTGAATGATCGCCTGTTTCTTGGCACGTGAATCTTAGCCAATGATCTCTGCTGCAGCTATGTATGACTTAGCATTATACATACATACTTACATGTATGTTTATACATATGTACGTTTCTTAGGGCCGTTTTCTCAAGTAACCTGTAACTTTAAAGCTCACTTTATATTTAAAGGTTGCATTAAAATGTCTGATTGTGTCTAAAGTAAATCATTTTATTATCGATTTTTTATTGTTTTACAACAAAGAAACATACATACGTCAAAAACCAATACTAAAAACGCTTAACTGTAGACATAGCTTTATTTTTAATCCAACCTTTAAATATAAAGTGAGCATTAAAGTTAAAGGTTACTTCAGAAAACGGCCCTAAATCGATTTATTTGTTATTTTTATTTATTTAAAAAGTTGTCCTCGTTGGGTGGTTGTTATTTCGAACTTTGCACAGCCGTTTAGTTGGATCATTTCGAGTGCGTTGTCATTGAGATGGCTCAGCCCTTACACTCCCACACATACATAACTTAAAAATAGGTTTACTTTTTACAAATACTATGTAGCTGGTAAATTTCCGCACAACTTAGTTTATATAATATACGCCTATGCTTTTGGGCCGCGAGCCAACCAAGACTTTATGAAAACGACTAATATCGAAAATTCTGGGATGGCGTTAATTTTTTTTGTTGCAATTCCAGGACAATCTCATGAGTATATCAACTGAGTCGATAGAAAATTGCGCTGAGTTACTATCCACCTACAAAAATACGGACTTTGAAATGGCTATACGATGCTCATCTCGCAAAAGAAGAGAAAAGGGGTGTTCAATCAAGAAAGTCTAAATGAGTCTGCAATTTTCACACCAGAATATGAATTTCAATAGGACTGGTTTTCACAACAAACATACCATTTTGACAATCAGTACAACCGCAGCGAAAATCTAACTCCGTCGGTATCACCACTTTAGATATATGAATTCGCCTTGCTTGGAACAATTACGGCATATTAAGCCTGCAGTGATGAAATGGCGATTGGAGGTTCTTGAATTTCGTCAAGAAAAATGTCTTCGATGTGTTTTCTAATGTTTGGAGTTCTCTCAAGGAGCGAAGTTTTTCGAAATCGCAGCTTTTGAAAAGCATAACTAGGATCTATTATGTCACCGGAAAGATTAAAGCTTTAGCTATCTTAGCCATCGCAAATGAGATTGCTCTTTGACTTGTCCAAAACCATCGAAAAATTTTCTCAAGCCCAAGCACAACATTTTTATCTTAACCTTTCTCACACACCGCAAATAACCGAAATAATAACAAATAGCCGAATAAAAAAAAAAATAAAAAAACAGTCGGGAACATGAAATGCCGGCATACACATATGTGCATAATAGCAAACCAGTTTCAAAGTTAAGAGGCCTACTACACGTGCCGTTGATAATCGGTTTTTTATAAGCAACATTTTTTTTTTTTCATTTATACTCAAACCAGAAGAATGGCCACCAAAAATTGGTAGTCTAGCAGCCAATCGGCGTGTATGTTGTAAAGCAGTGCATGCCTGCAATACAACAGCAGTCACAACAAAATACGATCGTTGCATTTATTGAAGTCTGTAGACGTGAGAAGTAATCGAAATGAGCGAAAAGAAGAAGACAAAAAGTGCAATGAAGCAAGAATTAGCCGTGCCGCTGCACGTTTTTCGCTGCTTGTGTTATTTTATTTTCATAGATCTTTATTTCAGAATTTTTTTGAAGTAAATTTTACATTAGGTTGCCTTGCCAAAAAAAGTGGCGGTTTTTCCACCGGAATTATACAATTTATTATATTCTAAGAGTTCCGCCAAAATATTTCGGAAAGGTATCAAGATTTAGATGAGCTGTACCGATTTGGAAATATCAAAAAAACTGAGTTTTTTTTTATAATTAAAATTAGTTTTAAAAGTATCTTTTCCAAAAAATCACACCATATTATAGAAGAGTTCAAGCTAAAAGGTCTGCATACGAAATGTACGCAGATTTTATTAACGGAAGCAAAATAATGAAGTTTTTAGTCCAATTTTCAAATTAGTCCAGCTCACTTAAATCTTGTCGACTATTTTTCCGAAATATTTTGGCGAAAGTCTTAAAATATAATACGGTTTATGATTCCGATGAAAAAACAACCCTGTTATTTTTTTTTTGTATGGGGAGTGGTGTGCCCTAATACACTTATGTGCTTCGTGTTTTTCATTTATACCGCCCGTAAGTAAATAAATACATATATCATGTATTTTGTAGTCGTCTCGTGCTTCTTATGCGTTTTTAATGTGGGTCGTCGTCGCTTAAAATAAAACAAAAAACGACAAGAAACAAATAAATCAACACAAGTGTTGCAATCGGAAAAGGCACCTGTGCGGCAATCGATCAGCGCTCTACTCACCTCGCGGATCGGTAGAAAAAAACTATACTTATGTATGTACATACATACATAGTATTTCAAAGCGCCAAAGCACCAAAGCGCCAAAGCGCCAAATCACCGAAAAGTCGAACGTTCTTTTTGTCGTTTTGTTCTCTTATTTTGTGCTTTAATCTTTATTGTTTTATGGCTCATTTGTAGATTGAGCTGCAGCCGCATTTTCTTATTGTTGTTCTATATACTAATATATGTAAGTATGTACGTACGCATGCACTTCACTTGTTTTTTAAATTCAATCACTGATTGAGTTCGCGTCTTTTGGCGGTGAGTTCAGTTGCTGGCGGCAAGCAGCTCGCGCTACACGTGAAACGCTTAAAAACTTCTAAGTACATAGTAAGAAGCTGCTGCATAAGGTGATTTTTTAAATCTAGAGACTTGACTTTTATGCATAAAAAATAGAACAAATTAATGGTGTTGTGAATGAAATTTTTGCATAAGTAGTTAATTGTAAATAATGAAAACAGCACAAGATTAATTTTTAAAATTCCTTAAGTAATTACAAATTGAATAGAACAAAGAGAAATAATTATATAAACACAAATAAAAAACTAAGTAAACTAAAAATTAACGCAGCATTAATTTTTTTGCCTCGTGGTAAGTTGAATGAAAAACTTAGAGAATAATGGAATTTAAAACCTTGTAGCGTCGTATAAGATTTTTTTTGTAATCGGAAATATCAAAAAAGGACTGTGAAAAGTAAGAAAAATTATGAAAAAATCAGTAACATATATTGTTTTATAAGAATCAGCGAAATAGGCATAAATTTAGAACATGCGCACACTTTTCAAAGTAAAAAATTCAGTTAAATAAATAATTTAAGGGCTAAAAGTCTTGTATTCAAAATAAAGGAAAATATGAAATCGGATGGTATCCAGAGGCTGATTTTTGCCAACCGACAGTAATAATAAATTTTTTTTTAAATAAAAAAATTTTATCTTTTTTTTAAATATAATTTTTAAATTTTAAGTAATTTATTTGCTGAAGCAGTTTTGTAATATTAACTGCTTTACATTATTCTTTGGCATTCACATCCAAATGCTCTTGGCAATTTTGAAAGATTTTGTTTATTCTGTCATGAAGTTTTACAAAAAAGCTACCTTGCGAACTTTCATGGTGAAAAGCTCTTTTGACCGAAAGCATTTCTATATAAATTACAAAAATGAGTTTCCATTTAAAAACAATAAAATCTACAAATCAAAAGAAAATTAAATAAAAAAGCGAAAATGTATATGAAACAAATTTCTAAAAACTTAACATAAAAAATATTAATAAATAAAAAAAGAAAAAAATGTTCTACAATAGGATTCGAACTCGGATCTCTCGAATGGATTGCCAGTCCTCTAGTGTGCGCAAAATGATATAAATACATATTTTTATATTTGATTTCAAACTGAACGAAATATGTGAGTGATGCCACAAAAAACAGGACGCTCCTGGGGCCATATATAAATTTAATGAGCCCTTATCTTTTAACTCTGAGAGGAAACATTAATTAACAGATTTAACGATCATTAGTTAAGTGTCCGCTAGAGCTGTTGTTTATCTTCTTTTTTAATTTATTATTTATTTTTTTAACTTAATTTTCTTTTTATATTTGAACTTAATTATTATAAAAAGAAACATATTTTTTATTTCATTTAATTTTTAGGATGTTTTTTATTTATTTTAATAAAAGTTTCCTCGAATTCTTTCGATTTTATTGTTTAAATAAGCATAATTTATTAAACTTTATTTGATTTTTGGAAACTTTTTTTCATTAATTTTTTAATTACTTCTTTAATTTAGTTTTCATTTAATCTTTTGTTTCTATTGTTTCAAAAGAAAAATATATTTTGTTTTTAATTGGATTTAACTTTGGGAGAAATTATTACCAAAAGGCAAACAGAATAACCTCCTCCTCGTTAGCAAATCTTTCAATTAGTCTTTTGAAGGACAGAAAAGAGTTTTCAAGATAGTTGCCAGCATTGACAATTACCTTACGAAAGCCTTTTGTCTTTCGAAAGACTGTGGTGAATTAAAAGATAGTTACCAGAATTGGGCTGTATGGAGTAAGTGATTTTCGTCCAAAAAGTATCCTAATATTTTTTCTCCTGTTTTCTGTGGAAAAATCCCTTCAAATATTTCTTGACGTGACTTAAGAGAACACTTTTTCATTCACTAATGTCCCATAGTTAGTTGATTGAACTCACTTCAGTAGTCAGATCAAATCCCACCAGCCAAATTATGACTTCAGATTTTTGTGATGAGTCTATTCGGAACTTATTGTTTTTAAGTATCTGCGGCGTATCTATGCCGTTATATTTTCATTTCACTAGCTGCTTTTGATTTTTTACATCTAAATGCGCATACATATGTACTAGAGGGCTGCATGAATGCATTCAAAACGGCTTTTAAATTATTCATATACAAAACGAATGACTGATTTTGGCTTCAAATTTTTTTGAATTTGAGTGAATAGCTGTTCTGATATTTGTGTCGACATCACAATATTCAAACAAAGTGAAAATAAATTGAATTGAAATAAATGACAATTTTGTGTATGAATATCCAAAAATACTTTTTCTATGCACATATGTACAAACATACAATGTGTGTATGAATGTATTGCTGCGCTCCTATTACTTACGAAAAAACTTGTTTGTAGAAAAAAACTTTTACCGAACTGAGTTTGAATGATTTGAATGTTTTCCATTCATTCATTCACATTCTTCCATTTGAAGGTAGAAAATATAAAACAAAATGTATATTCATAACTTACAAAATTCCAAACGCTGAGTGTTTTGTATGTGAAGCAAAATATTCAAATCTTCTGTACTCTGTTTGTCTAGAAGTTTGAATGAATTCATGCAGCCCTCTAATATGTATATATGTACGTGCGCATATATGTATGTATGTATATATTCAACAATATTCTTATGTATGCTTGTTATGTGAAGCACCCATTATAGTTAATTATATAGTGTAAAAACAAAAAGTGAATACATTGAAGGATGCAATGTTGGAAATCAAATCGAATACCGTAATTGACATGTGATTTGCACATTGTTTTAGCTAAACAATAATAAGTAAACAAACGTAGGTTTTATTTTTAACTCAATATTAGGCAATAATCATGAGTTCGAATGCCAGAGCGGAAGCTGCGACAATTTATGTACATACATATGTATATAATTTTCAGTTGCAAGAAAAAAACACAAAAAAAAACTTAATACTTACATATTTACATACATACATACATATGCATGCTTGCTTTATGCCCAAAACTTCTAAAATTGGGTCTCGGAATGTAGACGTCTATCCGTAAAATCTGTGGTGTTGCTGTTTCCCATACAAAATTAGAAAACGACGCCGTCCTAAATTTGCCACACCCAAAGGTATGTCTTTCAAGCGTCTACATTTTGCAACCTCGTAGCAGGGTTGCATTATCGCAACACCAATCACATTTTTTTTTTTTAATTATTGGGGACGTTTCCCGTATTTGAGTTTGATTTAAGCACAACGAAAACAAACAAATCAAGGTAAAGAAAGAACAAATACTACTAGCAATTGGTAATTTGGTTAAAAAATTAAAATTTTTCAGAATTAAAATAAAAGACGACATATAAAAAATGGAGGCAAAGAAGAAATGTCTGGCAACACTAGTAAAGTTTTTCGACGACTGCTATAAAGGAGTGTTCACAGTTTGATGCTAAAATGTCTCAAAATGTAGACATCTAGTTTTTGAGACACAATTTGGAACGAGCTGTGAACACCCCAAATTTTTCAATAATATTTATAACAATGATATACGCTGACAGCAAACCAGATGTTTCATAACTAAGAGCCGCAAAAGCAAGGCTCAATCATATACTAGCTTCGTTTTTTTTTGTAATCGAGTGACAAAAGAAAGCTCAACTCGATTAAAATTTCCCTTTAGCTACATAAGCAAACCTGTTGGAATCTGCTCTGAAACATGTGATTATTTTAATTTTATTTGAACGCTCAATTCTTCTGCTCTAACGATTTTGATGATATTTGTATACAGATTAAATTTATTTGAATAAATCGAGTAAAAGGTCTGCAATTTTAATAAATTAAAGTAAAATAAGGCAATATGGATATCAAATAAAAGGTATTTTTGAGAACTGCAACTAAAAAATATTTTCGAAGATGGTTAGCGCGTTTTTTTTAGAATAATAATTTGTATCTTATTAATTTCAATGAGAATATTTGTGTATGTATGTAGCATGTATGCACAGTACACTGAAGAGATGTACTCACCCATCATCCTAGCGTATTTTTAATGTAAGGTTATTATTTAATTTATTTGATATCTAAGGCTAAATTTTTTTAAACTTATTTCCAATATATTATTTTTATAGAATTCTGAGGTTTTCAAGTAGGTTAAAATATTGGCAATATTTTTTGTTTATCAACAAATAATTTTCAAAGATTGTTTATTTTCATTTTATCCCACTTCTGAAAACTAATATAAACAGATTCAGATTTTTCTCCCAACTTGATATTTAATTTTTGTCAATTTAATCAATTATTTATTTTACCACAATATTCATATGAATTCAATTAATCAATCAATCAATTAATTTGTTTATGTATTGATTAATGGATTTTCGTATTCTATCACTAAATACTACTATATTTCGGTAATCCCAAAAAATTATAAACCAATCAATGCAGCACAAGATATGCACGCATGTACTGGCATAACACCTACAAACATAATTATATATGTACATACATACATAAGTATTTATTTAATTAAAGGAAACAATTAACTTAAATAGCTTACAAGCATTCGTGTTAAACGTATGTATGTACATACATATGTATTGCAAATAAATAGTTAATAGCTCGTAATGTAGATAATTTAAATGAATGACTAAAATTACCAGAAATCAACTGAACCGAAAATAAATGACAAATGCTTGTCTAATTATGCATACGTTGTTAATCTATTGCATAAGTAAATGGGCGGTATCTGTGGTGTAGTGCTTAAAAGTTCACACTACCATTGTACGGGGCCTAGGATCGAGCCCAGTTTCCGAGTAACATCGAAAAAAAAGTGTTTTCCAATGCCGTATTTCCACTAGGTATTAAATTTACAAAAAATGTATGCCATTTAAAAAAATGCCATGTGGAAATTAACTTAATGCCCAACTTTGTCATTTGTGATTTTTGCCATTTAATGCCTAGTGGAAATCCAACATAATAGTGGTCGCCCCCGGGCAGGCAATGGCAAACTTCCTAGTGAAAATGAGAAAAGGAAGGCCATATTAAAAAAAGTACTTAATTTAGTACCCTTTTTAGTATAAAATTGTTCATCAATAACTACACCGGCACACAAAGCAATCAAAGTGGTGTATGCTTTTAACCAGACCCACTTACCGACATGTATTTCGACCCACTAAATCCGAATCTCTTAGGCGGTTACAGTACCGAATAAGAACAATCCGAATCTGAGGATCGATTAACTCGTACACTTTCAAAATTTCGATTAAATTGCAAATATTGTTTATTATATTTATTTTTATATTATATTATATTAACCTAGTTTATAAGAATACATTATATTATATATTATTGATTTTCATTCACAGAAATTTTAGTATTTAATATACATATTGCTACCTTCTTAAATCAAATTTATCATCTATTAAATAAAGGCAGCAACAATATAAGTTTTCTTTTTTATTATTCGGTTTAGTCACTTAATGCGGAAATGCGTTCTGCTTTCAAAAAAAAATTTTGTTTACTTCTGCACAGGCACAAATTTCGCTCTACTTTACAAGTTTTCTTTAAAGTTTTTATTTGTTTTATCGATTTCCCATTAAATTGGTAATACAATTTATTTAAGCTCACATGTTGTAAAACTATTCAGTCTGAGTTCAGGCCTCAAAGAATTTTTGTTGGTACCAAGCAAAAGATCAAAAATCTCTTGCTTCAATTATACAATTTTGGTATTTGTAGTTGTCAAATTCAATCAGGAACGAATAGTAGTTAAAACCAAACGGTAGTGCCCTTTTTAGTACTTTTTCGCTGTAAAATTGAAAGTAATTACTCAAAGATGCAAATTGAATTTTCTAAGGGAGCTTAATATGTCGGAGTAGAGCGAGAAGCTGTCAAGGTGCAACGTCCTTTATTATTGCATAATTTTATACCTTGTTGAATATGCCTTGATCTGGCCTTTGAAACTTCTGACTCTCAATATAAAAATGTTTAACTGATAAAATTATGTTTTGCAAAATCAAAAAATTGTTAATATGATTGTTATTTGTGAATATACATTTCTCGTAAAAATTACTACTGACTTGCCTTTTCACAACTATATTCCTCCTAAGCAGTCAATATTTACGTATGAAGTGGGTGAGCAAAATCTAAAAAAAAAACTAATTGTAAATTCCGTTCAGTTCTCGTTTCAACTACCGGAGACGCTTGACTTACCTTCACCGGCTAATTGAACTTGAAAATGCTGCAAAAAATATATTCAAATTAATGAACTGACAAGTTAATATCCACATACATACATACATTCATCAAAGCAATACAACATCAAAAAAAAAAACGGCGTAAAACAAAACAAATATCGGGTAATAAAAAGAGTCACGTAGAGCCGGCAATTGCCGCAATGTAAGCACTTGGCTTAAAAGTAACAAGTTTATAAACGTCTAATATTCAAAGTGAATTACAAATTTTATATTTTCCACTGCCAAACGGATTTAATAGATATGTACATATGTATTTGTACAGTATGAACGATGATCGATACATTTTTTTCTTAGAATTTTTCTTTGATTTCAAAATTTTGTATGCAAACCATGCTCAACTTAATTTGTTTATATGTGTTTATGTTATATGAATTTTATGAAATATAACAATGCTAACATTTCATATGCCCAATTATATTGCTCTTTCCCTGCTTGCTGATGGATATCTCATACGACGCGTAGCACTTCCTCCCTTCCGCTGAATTGATTGGCATAAAATTGCATTTATCTGTATCTATTGCATTTGCAAATGGCACGTGTGCGGAAGCTTTAATTATGTAGTCACAATGCATGTCCTATAGATAATTTCTACTTGAAATTCATTTATAATTTTTTTTTAAGCGGTAAAGGTTGATTTGATCAAAGAAGGAGCATAGCAAATTGTTTACTAAAGCCGTCATCGATTCGCCACTTAGCTGCTTGCTATGTTTGAGTTCCGGTCGCTTAACGAAAAATGTTGCATGTGAAAGCAACAACAAAGTTAGCTAGCACGGATATACGATAGCGAGTTTGGTTGTACCTCATTGAGTTCGTTCGTTTCGCCACTTGCTAACTGTTGGCGAATCGATGGCGGCTTAAATTACTGATACGAGTATATAGCACATATTTGAAGCATATAAATATGTATATATAACAAGACATAAACAAATGTAAGTATTTTTAAGGCAAAATGTTGTCATCCATGCCGGTAAACAAGTACGCAATCCACTTCCGTCAGAATGCTTGAGAATTACATATACTATATATATACATACATACATATATAGCTCGATGTTAATACATTTTAGAAGTGTAAATATAGTTTTGAATTTACTTACTACAAAGGATATAAAGATAAAGCTTAAAGGAAATAAATATCTCAAAAGAGTTAAGTAGAATGTAGTTATGTATTGCTATAAAAGAACTCTAAGGGTTTCATAATTCAATTTTCAGAAATTTTTGAGCCGTATGAATAAAAACAATGCAATTGCTTTTTCTTAAAATTTCAGACCTTTTACACGATTTCTTAAAATAAATTTAAGTAAAAGGTATGAAAATTTAAGACAAGGCAATCATTTAGTTTTTACTGATAATGCCCATTGATTTCAGTAAAAATTTCATATAACTCCATTCGTCTACTAAAAAGATCCCAAACATAAAAAAAAAAATTATTTGCAAAAATTGCGTTTTCAAAAGGAGTATTTTGTTAGTTTATTTCTTGCTTATGCTATGGTAACAAATACATATGTATTATAAATATGTATTTGGAAATGTTGAGACCTACAATTTCGAAAAAATTAGAATTTAAATCAGGGTTGCGTAATAAAAAATTAAAAAAGTTGTAACCCTCAAAAAAATGGCTTTTCTTATTTTTGAGTAGAGTTTTAACTGGTAGCTCTGTCTGCCTCTATCGAGAGGATTTTACAAAAACAAAATTTTAAAAAATTTAATTAATTAATTAATTGAAAAAATAAAATAAAAGAAAATTATAAAATCGCCTTAAAAAAATTCGGCTTTTGTAAAAAAATAACCGGTAATCTGTGCAAGAATATTTTGTTTTCTTACTTTTGAGTAGAGTTTTAACTGGTAGCGAACAAAAAATTTAAAAAATCTGCTTTCAAAAAACCGATTTTTGTTATGAGTAACCAGACACCGATGCAACATCTTCTAAGTTTACTCAAGATTGCTGCTTTTCCATATTCGGTCTGATTCCATAATTTTAATTCCCTCAATCTATGAGCCTCTTTTATGGCTGCACCAATTATGAAGACTAGTGGCGACTTTCTTTGCGGTCGGCTGATCATATCGCCAGTTATTCTGAGGCATGCGACTATGTGTACTCTTCCGAGTAATTCGTTTTTGCTACATTTATCAAGTTCTTACCACCATACTGGTTTAATCGGATGAACTCTGATGTCTTTGGTCTCTGCTCGATATTGCGCCTCCATATTAGCTTGGAATTTGGGACAGTACCTTAGTATTTTGCCTCGGATGAAAGGTTCCAGCCTTGGTTAGGAGAATTCAGGTACCTTTGGTCATATTGTGAATTATTCTTCTTCTTACTTGGCACTACAACCGTTTGTCGGTTTTGGCCGAGATCAAAAAGCTTCGCCAGTTGCCTCTCGCCTCTAAGAATTTGTGCCAGTTGCTCATTCCAAATGCGGAGAGGTCCTACCATTGTGTTTCACTTCCGAGCGAATTTCACTTTGAATTCAAATTGTATGTGGTTGGAATTTACTCGGAAGTGAATTGCGGAACCTGCCTGATTATTATCATTGCCACCCGACCCGACGTTGGTTATTTGAAGTGTTTGGCCTTATGTATGTACAATGTACATACGTATGCCGTGAAGAACGATTAGTTTCTTTGAAAACGTGAAGTCTCCTTATCGCCGTTATAAATGAAGAGTGAAATTCCAATGGAACCATAAATCACTTTAATGAAGTTAGATTCGTATTAGTTTATGACTTACGTTTAGAAGGAACTTAATTTGAAAATTATCTCATTTTTTACTGCCTGATTAAACTTTCTACAACAGGGTGGTGAAACTAGACTTTAACCCTCACGACTTCAAGGTAACAGCCTTAAAAATAATAATATTTTGGCGTTTACACTTTTACTAAGTATTTGGGAAGGGAGGCACCTACAGTTTTACATTACGCTTCCGAACGGCAAATGAGAGGCTTTTTCATGACCGAAATATACTTGGACGTTTGCCATTGCCTGCCGAGGGACGATCGCTGTTAGAAAAAATTTTCTAATTTGGATGTTCGTGAAATAAGTTGCATTAAATACGCGTCCCCATATTAGCAATTTACCTCGGGAATAAATTATATTCAAAAAACACTTCCAAAAATATCTATCACCGCAGAGCAACGTGATGCTAACCTCCTAGTCAAATAATCGGTAGAATTGAAAATGAAAACAATAAATAATGAAACTACTTAAAATGCAAAGAACTAATAACGCGCGCACGTGCTTGGAAATTAAACCACATATTATAGTAGAAACAGTAACTGAAATTTCTTTTTATTAAAAAATTAACTTACACAAGCAACTAAACACTTATTCCATTTCGTCCACTCTTTTCAGCACTCTCATTGTGATACATAGCGCTAAATCGCTACAAAATGACCAGCAATCAAGAGGTAGTTGTCGCCTCACCCGTCACACCACATCCACCGCCTAAGGATCGCAAGCTATGGCGTGATCTTACCGCCTATTGGATATTGGGTCTCTGCAACAACTATGGCTATGTGGTGATGTTGAGTGCAGCACACGATATTATTGCGCAATTTCAAGATTCAGAGGTCGATGATAATACCACAGAGAATACGGACGATGATACACGTAAATGTCATCTGGTGTCGACTGGTGCGATTTTGCTGGCTGACATCTTGCCGTCGTTGTGTGTGAAAATTGTGATACCGTTCCTGCCATTTTGGGTGAAGTGAGTGTTGCGCGGTGTGTTTGATAAAAATTCTTTAATATTTCGTTTATTTCTTTTCATCGACAGCTTCAAAATTCTGCTCGCTGTTCTGCTATCAGCTTCAGGTTTTTTGCTAGTTGGCTTTGCCACAGCCGAGTGGATGGCATTGCTGGGCGTGGTCATTACTTCGGCGAGTAGTGGAATAGGCGAACCGACTTTCCTGTCTTATTCGTCGCACTTCCATAAGTAAGTAATTGTATTTCGATTTTTTTCTTTTGACATTCATTCATCCGACGAAAATTTTATTTAACGGGAATTTTTTTTGAATAAAAAAAATGCATCTATCTATTTAATTAGTAAACAATTTTTTCGCAAAATTTGAAAATTATATTTAAAGTGATGAAAAGTGAGTTTTAAAGATTGTAGTAAACTGTACATTAGATCGTACCAGATTAGAAGCAAACACACAACAAATTCGCCATGCAACCCTGAATCTAAAAAAAATTTGCAAGGCAATTTCAAAAAAAAAAAATTGTTTGCCGCATCAGGCGACCCTACGTTCGTTAAAAAAAAAACCGAAATTTCCATCGAATCGAAATACATACTTCCTGAACAAAAGTTGAATGACTTTTGGCAGACTTTAAATTACTATGACAGGGTGGTATGTTAGGGCGATAAGAACTGAGATCTGGTAGGTAACTACTAGAACCGGGCACCGCCGTAGTGTCTTTTCGAGACAAGAACATAAATATAGCACATTTTAAGCGTCGACTAAAAATTCCAAAGTTATGACGAAAGATGTCATAAGGCGACCCCTACATCCGGATAAAAAAAATCGAAATGGTTTTGCAAAAATGTCATAGTCTCAGTGGTATACGCCGAGCCTTTTTCCAGTACGGTCTAATACACTGCAAAATTTAATAAGTTATATTTTATTTGCTGTAACCAGGAAAACTTAACACGCTGGGAATATTTTTTAATTAAGTAAAAAATTTAAATACTTTTCAGTAATCGAATAGATGAATATATTTTTTTATCAAAAAAGAAGCACCCATTTTTTACTGCCGGAAAAAATTAATATCCATAAAAATAAATTTACCCAATGAATAATAACGAAAATTCTTCGAATAGATAAGCAGCCGATTTTTTTATAAAAGTAGTCCAGTTTTCTCTGTCTTTTTTATAAAAGTAGTCCAAATTTCTTTTTCTGAAATATGTACTTCACAAAATTGATACATCGAATTGATGAATTGAAAAATCTTCGTAACTACCCAACCAGCAGAGAAACGTAAATTTGGCGTGAGTGGGAAAGCAGTTCATGAAAGTATCCGAAAATGAAATCGATAAACGGACAAAACCCGCGTTTCATTTACTTTTCTTTCCTTTTCACACTTTTTGCTGGCTGCTAGAAATTTTCTAAATGCCATAAAATTTTCTAAGTCCATCAGAAATCCATTCATCCAATCAATGAGTTTATAACATTTAAATACCTTTTTATACTATTTTATTTATTTATTATTTGTTGCATTTTCCCTACTACAGAAACGTCGTTTCCACTTGGTCATCTGGTACTGGTGGCGCCGGTGTAATTGGTTCACTCTCCTATGCCTCTCTTCGAGCGCTTGGTGTTAGTCCACGTGATACTATGCTCATTATGTTGTTCTTCCCAGCATTAGAAGCATTCTCTTTTTGGATTATACTACGAAAGCCCGTAATAATGCCACTCCACACATCGGCGCTGGAATCTACAGAGGAATTGGTGATTGACGAAAAACCATTGCGTGGATTCAAAGAGAAATTGGTTTACATCAAGACACTGTTTCCTTACATGTTGCCGCTGGCGTTGGTCTACTTCTTTGAGTATTTCATTAATCAGGGATTGGTGAGTGGATATACAGTTATTAATCTTGAAGCTCTTTCTGATTTTCGTTTCACATATCCTTCTCACAGTTCGAGCTTGTCTACTTCGAGAACAGCACATTGTCGCAGGCTGCACAATATCGTTGGTTCAATGTCGATTACCAAATTGGCGTCTTCATCTCCCGTTCTTCAGTAAATTTGTACAAAATCAAGAAAATCTGGCTGATGGCTGTCTTTCAGTTTGTCAACGTTGCTTACTTCCTTACCGAGGCTATATACTTCTATACACCAACCATTTGGATCACACTGGTCGTTGTGCTGTGGGAGGGCTTACTGGGCGGTGGCGCTTATGTAAACACCTTCTATCGCATGTCCAAAGAGATTACGCCAGGTCGTAGACGGTTCGCTATGGCTATGGTCACACAATCGGATGCGTAGGTATCGCGTTGGCTGGCTTCTTGGCCATTCCATTGCATAATGCAATTGTTCACTACCGCCGGCATATCGGAAAGTTGTATGGTGACACAAGTAGTGGAGATAAGGGAGGGTAATTTTTCAAGTGTAGTTTAAGTTAGTAGGTAGTAAGTTAGCGTAAAATTCGAGGAGATCGTAGGGCCAAGTCCAATTGTAAACATGTATTCAAGGGTTGAACTTGACAGCTCGGCGGTTTTATATGAAGCCTTTTAAAGATAAATTAGTTTGTAAGATAATTATTGTTTTATTTAAGAACTATTAAAACTCTAGGTATACATAGCTGTTACTTACGTAAATAAGTACAAAAACTCAAAGCAACTGTATATTTACCTTTTCTGTAAAAGAAAAGGCGCAACTAATTCAGGGACTTATTGCGATAGCACAGGTAAATTGATATTTTTAATAGATGATAATGTAAAGATTGACTTGGAAGAGCTTACGCTAAGAAACAAGTTGTAAACCTCACGTAAGATTGTTAAAATTGTTACTTATACATAAGACTAGAGTTACCCGGCCACGCATTGCTGTGGCTCAGTCAAATAAAATGGAAATATCAAACTCAGAGAACTTATATGGTTTTATTAGACGCTTGTATATATAATGCAGGTACAATATTATATATTTTAAAATAAGAAAAACCCAACGCCAAATCCCGCAAAATTGCTGCTTTTGTAATAGGCGTGGCAAAGTTTGGCAACCTCGACCGAAATTTGTAGTACTCATCACGTAATATTGCATTTAATCTTAAGTGTTTCTAAAATACCTTTCATTTGATACCAAAATTGTAATATTTATCTTATCAAATTATTTGACTTAAATTTCCAAACAGGTGGCAACCTTCTTTAATTTTATTTTCCAAACCAAGCCTTCTTAAACCACGTTAGTTTGACACCCATATTGCAATATTTAATTTTTCTTATCAATTTTATTGAATAACATTTTTCAAACAGCTGGAAACCCTCTATTGTAATGTTCTTCAAAACAAGCTTTCTTAATCCACTTTAGTTGAATACCCACACAGCCACATTATATTTATATTATCAAATTATTTAAATTAAATTTTTGAAACATCTGCCAATCCTCTTCAAAGATTTTNCACCTGTTTTTTGGCTGTGCTCTTGTCTTTTACAATTTCTTTCATTTCTATTACAATTTCTTTTATTTCTATTACAATTTATTCAAAATACACTAACACACTGAAACCAAAAACACCAATACACTAACCAAAAATACACCTACAGCCTGCCAAACACACACCTACAGCCTGCCAGGCAAAACGGTAAGAAGAAGAGTTACTTTACTTATGGAACTGTACGATGGATTTTCCAAATTAAGCTTTCTTAAAGCTCTTTAATTTGATACCCAAATTTTAATATGTCATATATGTCAACTTAATTAATCAAAATTTTTCGAACAATTTTATAGTTTATAGC